ACAGTAATTATTTTTGGCTGGTTTAGTTATATTTTTGATTATGTAGCGTACATTTATAAAATATAGTTTATAACAGTGAAGCAATGTCTACACTGAGTTTTATGAAAGAATAAAATCGGAACAAACGAAAACTCGTCTGTTTCGCACATATTCTCTACTACTAGAAAGCCTCCTCACTCTACAGCTATTGGCTGTCATCGAATATCCCGCCAATTCCGGGNGTAAGCCTGGATCCTCATGCAGACACTGGCGCTTTAGCACCAGCGCTCAAGCGCTGTTTTTCAACTGTTGAGCAAAGTTAATGAGAGCTGTCAATCCTCATGACAGCTTTGGTGCTTTAGCGCCGTTTACTCCCACTACCCGCTTTTCACCAATCAACGCTCGGTGTCAAAGCGCCGGTGTCTCTCTATATGAGGATCCAGCCTAACACTATCCTCACATTGCACGTTGTTCTTCTTCTATGCACAGACTGGCACAGACCAATTCTCTTAGTAAACTCATTGTTAGTATAAATACAAAGTGGCACATACAGTTGGCATTGTCTTTATAATTTTGGTAAGTACACAATTATTATTATAATTATTTTTAAATATTTAGTCTACTACTTTTCGAGTTACAAATAATCCTAATACTAGTTTTTTATATACAAGTTGCGTGTACAGGTTAAGGCGTATACAGGTCGGTAATTTTGCGCAGTATATTTATTATTCATAAGTCTATTGTCATTGACAATTTGAAAGTATCTAAATTTATTTTACTTCCAGAAATTCTGGTTTGACATCTTTACAGTATATAACTGGCGTATGGGTTTTTCTTCTATGCCCTCTGCCCATTACAACATTGATTGCATCTTTACGGTATTTTAGTNAGTACACACAATTAATCTTAATTATTCTTAAATGATAAGTTAATTTAGACGTTATAAACGATGATTTCCCAATATTATTTTGTTATATGCATTTGTTAAAAGTTGTGTAATATTTGTTACAGCATAATATTTATGCATAATAATATAAGAATTATTGTTAAAATTTTTTTCGATATTATAGAGGCTGTTCGTACAATTTACAGTCATACGACGGACAACGATATAGCTGAGTACACGTNAAAATGGCTTGCTCAAGCTACATTAAGAATTTCTAGAGAAAAGTATATGCGTTATATACTATTATATATAAAATTCTGTACTTTTTTAATGTTTTTTAAATCCACTTTGTAAATTGTTTTAGGCAAAGTACTCTACATAAAGAAAAACGACGAAGATCAGCAATAGGTGGCTCAAAATGACTTTTATTTTATTTAAACGAAGAGAAAAATGACAAACATAAGAAAAGTATTTATTTTATTTTAAAGAAACACTATGTTCACACACACACACACAAAGAAATGTGAA